GAATCAACTTCGCAGGAAAATCTTCCCCACAAACAAGATTCTGAAGTTCATGAGAAATTATGTTACTTTATTCTTAGGAATGTAAAATATGAAAGCTAATTTTGAAAAATAGAGCAATTAGAAAATCCTTGTTAAAATAATCAGAGTTAAAGAGGCAATAATGAAAACGAAAATCTGAAATTGCTACTTTATCACAGGCTAAACCTAGAAGCTGAATCATTTTTTCTGCTAAGGTCAAAACTGTAATTTCAGTTTCTATTTCTGTAGGTTGAGAAAACAGGTGGAAAGCAAAAAGTTCCAGAACATTTTAGGAAATGATAGGTAAATTTGCTACAAGTTCAATCTAGGGACAAATTTACATGTATTTTTTTATTACTACCCCATATTATGTTAACAATTATGGAACAGAAGAAAGGGCATTTGTCTAGCTCCAGCCAAAATAAATTTTCCAGTTCTAATTTACCGGAAGTGTGATCCCTGATGAGCAACTTAATCTTTCTGTGCCTCAGTTTCTTCATCTGTAAAATGGTAGTATTATCATTTAATAGCAACTGACATTCATATGCACTTCAAAGTACTTGAGACACATTATTTCATTTAAGGCCCATCTGAGGTGAGATGAGAAAAGTCTAGTATCAAAGAAGTTAAGTTTGACTTGCCCGTGCCCACAATTCTAGTAACTGTCAGAGGCAAGGGAAGTGATTTGCCAACGACCACAAAGTTAGTATTGTGTCAGAGACAAGACTATATACTCTGTTTACTCTCCATTTGTAATTCTTAAAGGGCTAAATAAAAAAAGGCTTATCAACAGCAATAATAATAATTCTATATCCTCCCCTTGCCCAAGCTGACAGCAAAGTTTTCAGGGCATGCCTGTGAAAAAAGTGAGGCATACAAAGTCAAATGAGATTGTTAACTTTTCTTCCAGTGAAGTCTTCAGAAAGAAAATGGGATTTCATCACCATTATGAGCCATGTTAATGATGACTGGGAGAAATGAAAAGCCATAAACATGAGGACAGTGCAGGATAAAAAAGAAATTCCAGACATCATACACTGCAAGCCTGAGAACACAGAGCAAGTTACAAAAAGTAATGAGAGATATTGGTCCAGACTCTGGCACCTGCGACAAACACATTTATGCTGCACAAAAGTAAAAATAATTTACTTTTACCTACTGTTTCAAACCAATAAGCTACAGAGAAGAGACCTATAATTAAAAAGCTAAGCAACTGATTTTAAGTTACAAATGGTAATGAGGTAGTTGTCAAACACACAGCCCACACCACTCCTCAGTGTAGCTACAACCAGATTAATGTAATAGCAAAAATTTAACAGAACAAATACAAATAGAATAGAATACAAATAATGGTAATATGTAGCTTTCCTAGTCAACATGCTGCCAGCAGAGATTCTTATGTACTTGGTCTCTGTTTCTATTTGAGTCTTACACCAGTTGCCTAGAGGATATTTGAGATGTCTTCCACCTCTAAAACAGTAACAGGGTGGAGAAGAATACAAAACATGATAAAGTAGACATAGTGACAGACAGGAAACTGCAACTAACTGAGGAGCCATGACGACTTTCTGGGGCCTAAGTTTTCCTCATCTGTCAAATGAGTAGACTCAATAAAATCTTTCTAAAGTCGTGTGTGTGTGTGTGTGTGTGTGTGTGTGTGTGTGTGTGTGTATAAATACACATATTTGAGTTTTGTTCTCAACAGTCTGTTCAAGACATGCTTTGTGCCTTGATGGGATTTGAAAATCTGAATATATCTCTCTATACACACAAACATACATATTATATTCTCTACAGGTGGTCCACCATATAAGCTAGGGAGCATTCCTCTAGTTTCTCCTTGGCATTCAAAGTTCTTCATAATCTGGCCCCCTCCTACTTTACCTTACTCCCCTGCATGTGCTCTCTGATCCAGTGACCCTGGCCTCTGGCTGTTCCTCAAATACTACACTCCATCACCTTCTACAAGCATCTTCACTGGCTGTTCTCCATGGTTTGAACACCCTCCCTCCTCATCTCCACCTCTTGGCTTCCCTGATTTCCTTGAAGTCTCAGCTAAAGCCCCACTTTCTACAAGAAGCCTTTCCCAGTCCTCCTTAATCCTAATGCCTTCCCTCTGAGATTACCCCAATTTGTCCTGTCTATATCAAGTCTGCGCATAGTTGTTTGCATGCTGTCTCTGTCGTCAGACTGTGGGGTTCTTGAGAACAGGGACCATTTTTTGTCATTCTTTGTAAACCTAGTGCTTAGCACAGTCTGCTATATAGTAGGCCCATAATAAATGATCACTCCACTTCCTGACTGACCTTTTCTTTAAGTAGGGGTCAGAATATATAGACAGACCTGGAATCGCCAGGGCCTTCTATGTATTCTGTATGGATTGATCCATGCTTCAAGAATTTCTGAGTGAAGGACACAACCAGTAAATGGAGAAAAGAACCAAGGTGGGGTACTGTGTAGTAGGAGTCATACATCTGAAAGTGACTGGCATGCTGTAGTGTACACTGGATTATATAAAAAATGAACTTTGGTTGTGCTAACTCAATTCTGAACCAAACATTTGATAAGGAAGACTACAGGGAGGAGAGATGAGTCAAAGGAACCATCAGAGGTGTTTACATCTGATACACCAGTCTCCTCTCCACCTCATTCCCAACCCCATTCCCTACTTAAGAGTCCATATTACCACTTTTTCCTCTAAAAGCACAAAAATGAGGAAGACTAGGTCATCAAATCAATCAGGTTTAAGTTGGGGGGGCGGGGGGCAGGCAAACAGCGGCAGAGCCAGAGGTCCATAAGACCTAAGTTCTCAACTCCCTCTCTACAACTTACAAATCTAAGGGCCATTTAGTAACTATAAACAGACTAATAAGCACTTATAAGTGCCAGGCACTGTACTATGATCTGGAGATAAAAAGACAAATGTGAAATACTCCCTGTTTATATTCCAATGGGGAAGGCAACATTACTATACCCATGTATATATGTTAAACATACACAAAACAAAATAAATACAAGATAGTTTTGGGAGACAGTACATCAGCTTCCTAGGCCCTAGGGGATCAAGATAGGTTTTGTGAAGAAATATATAGTGGCTATTCACTATTTGTTGATTCATAAAGCAAAAAACAGAAGAGAAACAAATTTGGTCATTTGTTGACAATGACAAAGATAACACTAAGTAAAATGATAGGAATGCCTTTATAACACTGAGAGTGAGAAAACAGACTGAATTGTATACAGTATACGTTATATTCGATTTTTACTGTTGAGAAGTATCATGGTATAATTTCAGGGATATCTAATTCATGACCTGCAAAACTCCCCAGTGTGACCTGAACCAGAATAAAACGTAATTGGTAAATGTTTAACAAAATACAAATATATTACAAAATAGATATTGTTAACTGTTGTTTTTTGCGTGGACATGCTGCTGGCAGGGATCCTTTTCTTTTTGAGTGCAACACCACTAGAGTAAGAGGCCTTAGGTTCAAATCCCAGTTCCGCCACTAACCAGCTGTGTGACTATGAGCAAGTTACTTAACCTCTGAGCCCCATTCCTCATGTAGAAAATGGGGATAACATTTGTAGTATGAAATCTAACAATTGTGAGCAATGTGCCACATCATGTGAGTTATCATTATGCTATTTCAGAGGATGTGATTTGACCAGGAGTAAATTTGACCCAATAGAATAAAAAAGTCTACTAGGCAGCTAGGTGGCACAGAAGATAAGAGTGTACCTGACCTGGAGTCAGGAAGACTCATTTTCCTGAGTTCAAATTCAGCTTTAGACCCTTTCTAGCTGTGTGACGCTGGGCAAGTCACTTAACCATGTTTGACTCAGTTTCCTCATCTGTAAAATAAGCTGGGGAAGGAAATAATAGCAAACCGCTCCAGTATCTGCCAAGAAAACCCCAATAGCATGAACAATGCTATCATATTAGTATATAAATGCCTTAACACCTTAAAGTAGGTGAATTTCTTCAATAATGCTGATATCCACATCAGAATCTGACTTCGTCTGTGCTTCCTTCATGATGTAATCATATCCCCTTTGAAAATTAGTGGCACTCATCAAAGACTTCTTCCAGTAGAACCTTAAGTCGAATCCAAAGAAACTTCATTCACAAGAAAAGGTAAAATGACAAAAGTGCCAGCCACACAGTCACCCAAGTGAGGACACAGGCTCCCAAATAAGCCCACACCTCCTCTCTTCCTTCCATCTGACAACTATGACACTTTAAGCATCCGGGAACTAATCCCTTGGGAATTGTCACCATCTCTTAATTTCCTCTTTTGTGTCTCTGGGGCTGGAAGGACAGAGGGAGGAAAGGAAGAAGGGGGAGATCACCATAGTTCATAAAATCACCCAGTCTTCAGTAATGCCTTACTCTGAATCCCGTGAATATAATCCAATTCAGCAACGTCCTAGACTACTGGGCAGATGACCGCAAAGAGTTGCTTCTGTGTTTGGAAGATCTGATTAGTCATCACATAGACACGATTCAGAGCTGTAAGGGTCTATCCAATCCAACCTCCTCATCTCACTGATGATGAAACTGAGGCCCAACATTAATTACGATTGTCCAAGGTCCCCAGATTCAAACCCAGTTGTTCCTGTAGTAAATCCCAGGACTTTACACCACGCCAACTCTCTAGACTCTGATCCATTTTGACTACTTAGGCGTTATTTTACTGAACAGAGGAAAATGAAACGAGTTAAATAAAGAACGAAAATCCTCAAGAAATACGAAATCAGACCAGCCTTTGACCTCTCCACCCTATTCCCTTGGACTTGACCCCACCCTATGCTCCGAAGCCTACATTCGCACACATGGGACTACAAAACCCGTGATTCAAAGTGCGCCCAGACCCAAGGCCGCCTGGGTGCCAACCGCCGCAAAGTTACCTGGGACTTGTAGTTCGCGCTTCCCCACCCCCTCGTCTTCTCCCTTCCCCAGCCCCGTGGTGGGCCGATACCTGGAAGTGGTACAGGAAAGCATCAGGCCAGAGTAAGAAGTAGCTTGCATTGATGAGGCCAAGTTTGCCGACGAAGGGCACTACGATGGCGCCGGCGAACCAGTACCGCGTGATGACCGGGATACTCCTAAACCAGTCCCCCAGATCCGACATTTTCGCAGCTCCGGCTCGCTGAACCAGCAGCGTCGCCGATTCCCCGCCCTCCCGCCCGCCCCCGTGATACGCGGCCGGCCCCGGCTTCGGCTCCGGCTCCGCGAGGATGTGGAGGGGGAAGCCGCGACAGGCGGCGGAGACAGGCACAGGAGGCGGAGACCAGTGGGAGCAGCCCCCAAGACGTGGCGTGGCCGAATTCGGTTCTAGAGAGCGGCGGGCGGGGTGTTCCGGAAAGGAAACTTCCCCTTTCAACTCCAGGGGCAACGTGACCGGAAGTCCAACCTCTTAAAGGAGAAGCGCAACCTTAAGGCTTGCTGGGCGACTGGGGGTGGAGTGGAGAGGGAGAAGGGGCGGGGAACAGAGGTTGTCCGGAGCAACAACGGCAGATGTGTCAGCCAATGGCAGGGCCGGCTTCTCTCCCTTCTCTCCTCCCCTCCCCCTTCTCCCAATCTCCTGGACGGACGGCTTGTGAAAGGTTAACCTGGCCTAGAGTCGGTTGTGAAAATGTGCTGTGGTGGGAAAACATCCGGATTGAGACTTCAGATCCTTGCATTGTGACCCCGAGAAAAACATTTACTCTTTCTGTGCCTCAGTTTCTTCGTCTGTAAAAAGAAGAAATTGGACTAAATGGTCTCCAGTCCTGCTAAGTGGTGTGTTGGTTAAAATGTTCTTCTTAAAGTCCGGGAGACCTGAGTTCAGATGCTTCACCAGACACTTGCAAAATGTGTGACCCTGGGCAAGTCACTTAACCTCTCTCAGCCTCGGTTTGCTCATCTGTAAATGATGATGTAATAACACCACCCAGTGTCCTCTGTGAGGATCAAATGAGATTATGCATACACACATATATAATTATAACTTGTATTTAAATACATATGTAACTCTATGTAGCTATATGTGTAACTATATGTATAGTTATAGGGCAGGTAGGTAGTGCAGTGGATAGAGGTCTGGGCCTGCGGTCAAGAAGACCTTTCAAATCCAGCCTCAGACACTAGCTATGTGACCCTGGGGCAAGTCACTTAACCCAGTTTGCCTCATTTCTTCATCTATAAAATGAGCTGGAGAAGGAAATGACAAACTACTCCAGTATCTTTGCCAAGAAAATACCAAGTGGCATCATGAAGAGTAGACTGAACAACAATATATAATTATATATGTAAAACTACATATATATAGATATATATATATAAAGCTAGTTGAAAACATTATATCTAAAACTGTAATTCATATATATAGTTATAAGTAACTATATATAAAGCTAGTTGTAAACATATATAAATATATGTACATATAACTATGTAGCTCTATATATGAAACTAGTTCCAAACATGTAAAACTATACAATTTACCTATATGTACATATACATAGTTATAAATAACTAAATATAAAGCTAGTTGTAAACATATATTACTATATATGTATATGTAACAATATATAGCTTTGTCTATGTATAAAGCTAGTTGCAAGCATTAAAAGTACTATATAATTGTGAGCAATTATTATCTAAGGCCTCTCTAAATAATATAAAATACAGGATCTCAGGAATGGTTTCCCTATCCATTCACTTGACGGCCACTGGTCAGGAAGAAGAGTCAGAGAGAAAAGAAAAGATATGTAGAGAAAAGAAAGGAGTTTCATCAGTAATATATGATGGATTCTAGTGAACTACAGGAGAATTTCCTCCTTCCATAAACAGTCTTTAACTTTTTGTGATTTTCTCCTGTCCACCCCACCGGATTGTACATTCCTTGAGGTCAAGGATCACATGTTCTTGTCCCTTACATTGACAGAATAATGGATCCTAGCTCTAAAGCTAAGTGGAACCATAGAGGCCATCTAGCCCAACCCTCTCATTTTATAGATGAGGAAATTGAGGCCTAAGCAGGTTAAATGACTTGCCCAAAGTCACCCAGGCATGAAGTCTCAGAAATACAATTTGTACCTGGATCTTCTGAATACAGAGTATTCAATAAATAATTATTGAATGTGTATCTTTAAAAACAAGACAAAATTTCATCTCATTTCATCTCATCCTCTAGTCCTGTCCATTAGGATTAGATGATGCCTTCATAATCCTCTTCTGCCCCTATGTTTCTATGAAAACCCACCTGTTTGTCTCACTGTAATGACGAACAGGTGCTACCGTTTTCTATTGTTAGCTATCCAGAAAAGGAAATTCTCCAGTCTTTTCCAATAGCTTGTTCTGGAATTTAACAGTCCTTTCTTATAAGGAAATTCTTCTTATATCCTTGTCATCCTCAGAAGTATTTATTAAGATGCTACCTGCTATCATTAAGTTATGCGACGGTAGAGTACAATTCAAAAGTTGAAAGGAGAACAAATAGTGATAACCTTCAATGTCAGAAGCTTAAGAGATGATTTCTACTGGTTGATGGAGTTAATGCCTAAGACAAAACTTTCTTTTTCTGTTGTGTTTTGAGAAATGGAGACCCCTCAGAAACCGGAGTACAGGCCGGGTCATCTGGAATGAATTCACAGACAAGCATTCTTCAAGTCAAGATGGCAAAGATTTATTGTTATGCTTTTCAGCGGGCAAGGATTCTTAAGGAACCTGTGAGAGACTGAGGATGGAGCTGGGGTTTATATGGAAAAGGGCATGGAAAAGGAATGCCAGGGACACTGATGAGGTAATGTAAAGCCAGGTGTCTTTGAAAGCTATGGATGGGAAAGTACAGGGAGTATACCAGACGGGGAAGGAGATGACAGAGGTATGGATCTTGGGAGTCTGGCAGGAGGAAGAGTCCTTGGGCTGGCCAAGGACAAAACTCTTTGGGCCGGGCAAGACACCCCTCTCCCTCTGTCTTGATGAGAGAGTGCTCTGTAACAAGGGAAAGTTTTCTCACAAGATGGGAACTTACTAAGGAAGTGGGAGGCTTCCAGAAACATGCTCTGAGGTCTGGGGCCTGAGCAGCCCAGCACTCTCTCACCCAGCTTTGTGTAGCTGGACTAGGAAGAGAGATAAGGGTCATGCTGAGGCCCATGCATGAACAACTGCTAGGCATAGTGTCGGGCTGGGGAGTGGTTGTCAGAGACAGTGTTTCTGAGACTAGGGAGAAGGTGGGGTCCAAGTACAAGCGCAAGCACCCTATCATTTCCAATTGAAATATTTCCCATGATCCCTTTGATAAGCAGGTTGAAGAAGGTCGATCAAGGGAGTCTCTGATCAAATTAAAGAATTGTTTTTTAGCAACTAGATACTGAAGTATAAAGGAGTTACCTAAATAACCTCATAGCAGCTAGGTGGCACAGCAAATTGAGTGCTGGGTCTGGAGTCAGGAAGATTCTTCTTGAATTCAAATCTGGACTTACACACTTACTAGCTGTGTGACCCTCTGTCTTACCCCTGAGCCTCACTACTATTATAGTCTAGGTTTAAGGCTACAACTCCCATGGATGCTGTGTGCGTGTGTGTGTGTGTGTGTGTGTGTGTGTGTGTGTGTGTGTGTGTGTGTGTGTGTGTGTGTACTTGTGGGAATGAACTTCCTCCTCCTCTTCTACGCAACATCTTTGGTTTCACTTCTTACCTAGCCCTAGTCATTGAATGGGTGTGGCCTCAGACAAACTGAGACCTGGGAAAGACCTTAATTTAGAAAAGCCAAGGTCACCCAACATACCCTGGGCCATGACTCTGGAGGAGGGAGTGGAGCTGATGACTTTGCCCAGCACTGCCTCACTCAAATCCAACTCACCTACAAGTCAAGACATCCCCCTCCTGATGTCATTGGTCCTCTTTGAGAATGAAGGACAAACAATAACAACAGCTGTGTGACCCTGGGGAAGTCACTTAATCCAAGTTGCTTCTGTTTCCTCATCTGTAAAATGAGCTGGAGAAGGAAATAGCAAACCACTCCAATATCTCTGCCAAGAAAACCCCAAATGGGGTCACAAAGAGTAGGACCCTACTAAACAACAAAAAATAATTTGGTAACAGCCAAAAATTAGCTACAGACTGATCTTTATGATATAAAGACTCATAGTCTTTTTTTTTTTCGGTAGGTAATTGGGGTTAAGTGACTTGCCCAGGGTCACACAGCTAGTAAGTGTCAAGTGTTTGGTCTGAGGCCAGATCTGAACTCAGGTCCTCCTGACTTCAAGGCCGGTGTTCTATCCACTGTGCCACCTAGCTGCCCCCGAGACTCATAGTCTTTAGAAAGTGGTCCTGTCAGCTGTGGAATCAGTAAGTTCTAAGGTGTTTACTTATCACTTTTTCCCTGGTATTTGGAGGGATGGGACTCTCCCCCCTAGGAGAGGAATTCTCTATTCTCACCACTGGCAATGGCATCCTTTTGCAGAAGCACATCACTATAGAAGACATGTGCTTTCATGCCCCTGTGAGGATATTACTTCCTGAACCCTAGCGTCCTCTATGACAAGAGGTTTTGAAGAAATGGAGCCTGACACCTGGAGCTAAAGTCCTGCTGATAGGACACATTACACCTCACAGCTAAGAAGCCAAGCAGATAGAAGTGGGAGGGCTTTCTGCTGATTCCAGGAAGGGATCTGGTTCTTTCTGAAAGAGCCTAGTAGTCCTATAGGCATGGATTTCGGCTTATCCAGAAGTCGAAGGCATTGGAAACTATAGCTAACTAGCAGAGCAAGATGCCCGGGCAAGATAGCCTACCCATTACTGAGAAGCTTGGGGACGTCTCAGGAGGGCATCAGGGGCCTTGCAGCATGGAGAGTGTAAGTGACCTCTCCACATACATTCTTTGACAACACTTCCCTCCCTGTGTGTCTAGCCATGCGTGTTCCCCATTTGACTTCTGTTTATGTCCCTTCTCCCCACTCATCTTGAGTATATTTGGTTGCCATTGTTATCCCCATCACTTTCCTCTACCCCTCCCTACTCTACCTACCCCCATCCCCACAAAGAAATAAAAGCCCTCCTTTGTAACAGAAAAGCAAAGTAAAGCAAAATACCAAGTGTTGCCCAAATCTGAAAAATGCATATCTCATTCCTTACCTCTAATCCATCACTTCTCTATCAAGACCACGATTCATCATCATTATTCTGGAGTTGTAGTTGATCATCCCATTGACTTGCTCTTTACAAGAGTAATTATGCTCTAGTGGAAAGAGCAGTCTCTGAGGCCAGAGAACTGGGGTTCAAATCCAGCCTTTGTTTATGTGACCTTAGGCACGTAACAACCTCTCTGTAATATGGTTTTCTCATCTGCTAAAAAAGTTGGACTAGGGGGCAGCTAGGTGGCACA